CCGTTGAGGATCTATAACTTGTTTATTTGAGCATGATGGAATATGAACTGAAATATAAACCTATGAAAGCCTGAAATGTAATGACACACACCATGAGTTTTGCTCATTTAAAGTATAGGATAGACTTCTGTGGTAGGCAGAAATTAAGAACTGCAGATGTTTTGGACTTCAGCTCCCAGGAACCCCTGCCAGCATAGGCAACAGTCAGAAGTGTTAAGAGTTGCTTCAGAGTATCTGGAGATATTATTTCTGCTCCCCTGGTATAAATGACACCTGGCACAAAATAATCTTCCCCATTACTGAAAAAGCATTAGTAGATTTGGCGTACTCATGGGCTACCTCATTCTCTTCCTCTCCCCTCTTCTCAAAAGCTGGAATTCCATCTCACAACCCCTTTTGAAGGAAATCAATTTTACATCAGCACCAAAATTAACTGTAACCATGGTTAGTTTCAAATAGGAATAGTTTTGTTTCAGTAGTTCAAACCATTGTGCTCTCCTTGCATTTAGAATATGATCATTTATGAAGGCACAGTCACATGCCACATCCAGCCAATCCCCTACTCTAGGCTTATGACAGTGTTCCTCAGGGCACCTGAACCAGAGAACTCTGACTTAGTAATGTAAGAAGAAGCCATGAATCGATTATCATACTCAATGTGGCTTTTAAACAAACATTAACTGGAATTACAGCACAGGTCCCCCATTCAGACTTAGCAGGGAAATCTGTTTTAATGCAAGCCATGAGCTTTCCACCAAAGCTGTTTACTAAGTGGAAAAGGGGGAAGTGCATCCATGGCTTCATAAACAATGTTTTTTGAAGATATGGACCAAGTCTGAATAAGACCAGTGCCAACTTTGATTTGAAACCAACCATGGTGAGCATTTATGTTGATCCAAATGTAATACTGTATCATGGATTACTCTGGAAAGCAGAGGAGAAAATTCACGCATGAGAGAAGAGAGATGCCCACAGAGCACTCCTAATTGATGGCCATAGTAATATCAGGAATATTACATGGATTTAATGCCAGGTCTAAAAGATCTCTAATGGTTCTTTAACTCTGAAAAATGGGTAAATAGAGGGAGGCAGAATACATGTCTATAGCATTATGTATGCTGTGGAAAAAGTGGGTAGTGACTTGTTTTTCTCCTTCTTGTGTAATATTTTAAACAAGACTCATCAAATAAACCTGAATGACAGAAGAGTCAGGACAGGTAAATGGCATTTCTTCACACAACCCATAGGGAATTCATTTTTGCAAGATATAGTGTTGGCTAACAGCCTAGTGGCTTTACAAAGGCATTAGAGAAAGTCATGCAGGATGATTACTACTATAGCAACTAGATAAGATGGCTACTGGTCAGTTCACATGATCTCTGCAATCATTTTTGGACTGTTTTAGGGTTGTGGGTGGTTTATTAAATAAATCATCAACTCACCCTCACTGGGTTCAGATAACATGATAAGCCATGGAAAGTACCTGCATGGCTTGAATATGCAAAATGGCCACTGGCATACAACACAACACACCATGGTTTAAACAATCTGAGGAGTGGGATGATGCCATTGTGCAAACTGGATCGAAATACTGCTTCTACTACCAGAGACAGTATGCACCTGAATGGTAGAGGATAAAGGTGGCTCACGAGCTTTCCATATGCTTCTGACTGGCTACTGTGGGAACAAATGCAGAGCTAGATAGGTCTTTGGTCTGATCCAGCACAGCTCTTAAATTCTCTTTACAAGTTGGACTTTTGTAATATTTGCACTTATATGAACCAGTTTAATTTTTCTGTTTTGGAATTTTGTTCCATCTTGAAATAAGGGCTGTATGGCCTGAACTGCATTGGGATTTCTTGGGTAGGAGTGTGTGTACACATGCACACAGGTTTGTAATTATATCATATGCACTTTTTGGAATGTATTGTTCTCTACTGCTGTAAAAGGTGATAATCCCTGTTTTGGGGACTTTTCATCATCGCTGACAAAGCAGTCAATGTTGGTATTTCAGGAGTAGGTGTGAAAAAAAGAAAAGAAACATAGCTAACTGTTGCAACTAGGACCAAGCTATAAATGGTATCTAAATGGGTGGTCTAAGGCAATCAAATAAATGCAAATCTGTATTTTCTTATAAGCAATGCTGTATCTCACATGCTTTCCCCTCAAGGAACACAACAGTGCAGAGCACTGATTATTGTTATGAATCATCTAGAACAAAATCTTACTCTTAACAAGTTCCCAAGTGATTTTATTTTAGAACAGTGGCAGAGAATCTTTCTCAATTTGTTGTTGTGCTCTTCAGCTGGAAGAATGAATAAATGAAAACTTATCTGGAGTTCAGCCTTTAAACAGTAACATGCTAGTCAAGCGGTAGTACATGAAGCAATCAAGGAGAGGACTCTTGATCATGAAGAGTCCTCTTCACTCCTCTGGCTCGTGAACTCCCAAATGAGAACAAGGAGTTGGTATTTTTGTAAAGCTTAACATCAAAAACATCAAAAACTGAAATTAATATAACTGCAGCAACTTGAAAATCCCAGTGACTTTATTTCTTGCCAGAAAATGGTTCCATTATGTCTGTCATGTAAGGCACAAAGAACTGTAAGGCTCAATGCTGTTTAATGGTACAGAGACAGCAGGGGTGGTACGTGTGTTCCTGATTGCCAATTGTGATAACAAGCCACATTCATACTACTGAAAGCAAGCAAGCAAGCAAGCAAGCAAGCAAGCAAGCAAGCAAGCAAGCAGAACTGTTTGCAGTTCCAAAAGTGGGCATCTGCACATTTCCCACCACAACTCTCATTCTCATGCTTTAGCCTACTTTCCCAATCAAAACTGATGTCTCTGCTAATGAGCACAAATAAGGCAAACCGAACTTCAAGGAAAAAATGGAAAACCTTGAGAAACTAGAAAATTGCATATTTTTCTATCCCTTGGGGTGGACAACTTGTGGACCTCTAGGAGTTTTACCCTACAACCCCCAGTTCTAGCCAGCATAGCCAAGGGAAACAGATCATGGGAAGTGCAGGCCAAAATATCTAGAGGGCCCCAAGTTACCCACCCTGTGCTAAAAAGTCAGGCAGCACCAGGGAGATAAAGATCTGCACTGTACAATGCATTGCCCAGGCAGTGGCCTGTGGAGGAGCTCCTCAGTCACAATGGGTATTGCACATTCTCCCAGTCAAGGATCCGGGCAGCTCTTCCCACCCATCCCTTGGCTGCTCCTCAATGTCCTCTGCTGCAGCGCACAATGCTCCACCCAGCCACACTTGTACTACTGCCACCCATTTCAGCGTAACCATCTCTACATCCTCTCATTCTGGGAAGTACAATGAAAGTGCTTTGCAGAAGATGCTCTATGGCTGCAAACACCAACTGAAGAATAGGGATATTAGGAGGAGGAGGAGGAGGAGGAGGAGGAGGAGGAGGAGGAGGAGAAGAAGAAGAAGAAGAAGAAGAAGAAGAAGAAGAAGAAGAAGAAGTCGACGACGACGACGACGACGACGACGACAGACACCTACAACAGGGGAAGTCTGCCTGGCCCCACTATTTGCTCAGAGAACCAATACTTGTTTCCACTCCCAGCCTTCAGAAAAGAACTGATGGAAATATCGGTTGCCATGTGAATATGGAACTGAGAAGAAATAAAGGCTGGCCCAGGAACCAGCCAGAGGAAGAAGGTGCTCCCCTCCCTTCCAGAAAAAAATATCTGTCTCTAGAGATACAGATACATTCCTCCCCACCCCCACTGCTTTTCAAAGTAGAAAGTGCTGAATATTTGAGTAACTGGTGCAGGACAAGGTAGAAATCAGAGGGAAGTGTTTAATGTGGCCCTTTATGCCACTGGCATAGTATTAGCATAATCAATTTTTAGCACAGGTTCAGAGGGTCTGGGGCCATGGGCACATCTGGAAATTTAAAACATTCTGGCAACAACTGTAAATGGCTGCTATGGGTAAACCAAGCTATTGGCACTCAATCATAGGCATTAATGGGAAATGAAGATGGAAGCAGCTACCCCAGTTTGAAGCAGGAAGAAAATACATATTTTCAGCTCAGAAATTGGGAAGAACATGATGTGATCAAAGGTACCAAGGAAGGGGGCATGTGGGAATCATGTCGGCTACTGTTGCATTAGGGCAATGCCAGCAGCATATCCTAGCATGCCAGGTTCCCCTGGAAAACTGCAGAACTGGAATGGCAGCAGTGGATACTGGCTAAATAGATAGTAAGATAGTGTAGTAATTGTTCCCCACATCATAAGAGAGGGAAGAAGCTGAACTATTCTGTGCTATGGGGAAAATGTAGAAGACAGTCAGCCTGGTAAATATGAAAAGTTTAGAGAGCCTTTGAGCTATTGGACAGCATAAAGGTGAAATAAAGAAATAATAACTAATAATTCAAAGGATTACCCAGGCAGCAGAGAACAGAGATAACTAGAGGTGCACAGGTGTGCACACAGCTGCAGTTGTGTGAACTCTTATCCCTGTGTGTCTGATATCATATCAACAGTTTCAGAGATGTTCTATTTCAGCCTGACCCAACTGGGTGCCTTCCACATGTGCTGGGACTACAGTAATGGTATTGCACTGCAGTAGAAATAACGTTTATTTATGTATTTGTTGTATATAAACTTTAAAAATGATTTGATAAAGGGCAGCAATGAAATATTTGAAAATAATGAATAAAATGTATGAATCAATACATAAAATCAATAAGGCATTTTGTCCAAAGTATAGATAATTTAAGCTTATCTTATATTTGACATGTAACAATTACATTATGCTATATTATTAAAGCAGTCTTCCCCACTTAATGGCCTCCGCATGTGTGGAATTATGCCTTCCATTATCCCACTGACTATGCTGACTGGGGACAATGAGAGTTTCAGTTCAACACAGCTGGAAGACACCAGGATGAAGAAGACTTCTTTAGAGTAATCCATGTTCCTCTTAGGTGTGATAAAATAGGTTAGGATTGTAGGTGAAAGATCTTACCGGAAGATGATTAAGTGGTACATCCACTTGACCCAGGAAGTCGTCTCTAGTCTAAAGAAAAAGAAAAAGACAGGACCTAACATGAGTTATTAAATGAATTTAACTACTGCTGTGATATCACACTAAGTCTTAATAAGAAATGAAGCAAGAGCAGAGCCAGATGCGTTTGGTGACATGTCACACTAAGGCGTCCTGAAGGACTGCTAGAGGTTTTCAGACTGTTAAAAAGATTTAAGAGTTATGTGGAGACTTCCATGCTCAAATGAAGTATCTGAACATGCAGTCATTATGATGCAGAGACAGACCTGATCCATGGATGCAAAGTATTATTATTATTATAACATTTCTATGCTGCCCCTTGCCGAAGCCTCGGGGCGGCTTACAACACAATAAGATACATTGAAATACAATAGAACATAATAAATTACCATTAAATACAAAAATACAAAAAATACACTGAGATACAAACATAATAATATAAAATTAAAATTAACAGTATAAAGTAAGTAAGTAAAGAATATAGGAGGAGAAAAGAGAAGAAGTTGCCCTGGCCAGATCATATATTTTAACAATTAAAATGATGTTTAAATAAAAAGGTCTTTACCTGGCGCCGAAAAACCAGTAATGACGGTGCCAGGCGGACCTCTTTGGGGAGTGAATTCCATAGGTTGGGCGCCACCGCAGAGAAAGCCCTCCTCCAAGTACTTACTCTCCTAATTTCTTTCATGGAGGGTTCCCGGAGAAGGGACTCTCCCGCAGATCTCAAGGGGCGGTCGGGCAAATACGGACGTAAGCGCTCTTTCAGGTAGCCAGGACCCAAGCCGTTTAGGGCTTTATAGGTCATCACCTACACCTTGAATTGGGCCCGGGCTTCAATGGGAAGCCAGTGAAGCTGACGGAGGACTGGAGTCATGTGAGCATAACGCCCCGTCCCCGTCAGCAACCTGGCAGCTCTATTTTGCACCAATTGAAGTGTTCGGACCGTCTTCAGGGGAAGCCCCACGTAAAGCGCGTTACAGAAGTCTAGGCGGGAAGTCACCAGCGCATGTAGCAACTTCTCCAAAATAATAAATCCAACTTACTGTTTACTGAATAGTTATTTCTGCAAGTTAGAACCATAGGAGCCATTGCTCTAACAGGCTCAGTATTATTCACACAGCTGGTAACAGATCTCTCTGGCAGAAATCTTAGCCAGCCCAATCTGGGGATGACAGGAACTGAACCTGTCATACAGAATCTATGTATGACATCTTCACCACCACCAAGCTACCACCTATCCAGATCTGTAAGTGAAGTCTGTAATCCGGAAGTATGTTAATGGTGAGAGAGAGCAGGGAAACTGAATCTCTGACAGAAAGGTGTTGAACCCTTTTCAGTTCAAGGGCTGATTCTGAAGGCGCTCCTAGTGCTAGGCTGTGGTGGGCTTGGCTAAAGGCAAAGTAGTGGGAAGAAATTATCAAAATGCATGCATATTGTAGTCTAAAGCTAGTAGTGCCCATAACTAAGCTGCAGGAAAGGCATTTCAACCATACAGTTTTTGGGGAAAATGTGTGAAATCAGGGAAGCCACCAATCTGATTGTGCCTGGGGAAAAGGGGGCTATCTGAGGGACTGTCCAGAGAGGCATTTTTGTTGACCACACAGAAAGCTTCAACTATTGGGCAGTATGAAAATGGAATGAATGAATGAATGAATGAACAAAGAAACAATTCCATGTGGGCCAGATCTGATCCAAAACCCTAAGGCTGAAGGCCTTCCTCTAATAGTTGAGAGAATTTCACTAAGTCATGGCAGGAGCACAAAATATGATGCAAGCTGCAACGATTTCTTCTACACAGACATAAGAAGTGCAGTGGTGCTCTCCTCATTTGTAAGTTTCCTAGGATGACTGGATGCACTCCTTCACAGTGTAGAAACAGAACATGGAATGACCTCCCCTACCAAATATATTTTTTAGAAAAACCTTGAAATTTGGGTGGGAAACTGAAATATATGCAAAAATATATTTCAGTTTCTCGTAATAGTTCATTTGTACAGTGATCTGTACCAATCAATTTATTTTTGATTTCTAACAGTGCAATTATTCGAGTTTTGATCAAACTTTAATTTTAAATATTCATTATTACAAATGGGAGATGCTGCCAGTTGCACTCAAAAGAACCTAAGCACATTTCAGTTTGGACATCTGAACTGCTTATTCTGCCAAAATGAAGGCAACATAAAACTAAGATGATATGATGCACCTAAATTATGTCTTAGAGCATACTTGTGATCTGTTTAAGAACAAAAGTTGGTGGCATGAATGGACAGCTAAGGAACGGCTTAATTAGGCTATGAATAATGCAATTTGTCAGTCAAGTTGTTGATCAAGTCTCCCATTTTAACAAGTTATGAAAGCCACCAGTTTAAGCAATTCTACATGAATGTGACTAAAAGGAGATTTTGTGCTTGAATTTCTTGAATCTTGCATAGAAAGGGCTTCTGAAATGTTTCAAGCTGTAAATACAGTTTGCAATACTACACAGGGCACCTCCTCTCCCTGTCCCCTGGACTGTAAATCCTATGGCCACTCTAAAGTAGCTATGTGGATTTTCACCCACATCCACTAGAATATAGAACGCATGACAACATATTATGAGATCTGGATTAATCTCTTTTTTCAAACTGCTTTGAGATTCATAGTCTGCAACAGAAGTTAAAAAACAAGTATGCAAAACAAAGACATAAACCTGCTGTACTTATTAGATACCAAACTGTTTAAAAATATTGTTGAAATTCTGCAGGTTTAAACAGGCTTTACGAAACATCTAAATCTTGTCAAAAGATCTGATTCACTTTTTAAAAACACATTTGTATCACCTTTCCCCCATGAGGAATACTGAGTATCTTGCATTAGGCTACACTCATCTACCTGCTTTGTGAGGTATGGTGACTTGCTAAAGGCTTCCTGATACATTTAAGGTGCAGTTCTATGCATGTTTAGCTAGGAAAAGTCCTGTAACTCCCTACAACCCCCAGGCCAGCCTTACTATCTAAATACACACAAGACTGCACTCTTAAATACTGATGGGGAATTTGAAACCAAACGTCCCTGGTTGAAGTTTCATGTCTTCTCCAGTATAGCCCCCCCCCCACTTTTTTTCTAATTTCTGCTATTGCTCAAGTTTTAGCAGTATGGATTGCTAAATCTATAAGTCTATGTTAACTAAGGATACCATTTTATGCACCATTTAGCAAAGTAGAAACAAACAAATACATGTTTCTAAGTTAGTAGGCACAACACTGTCCAGCAACATTAGCTTCATTCAGAGAGAGGAGTATCTATGGAAAGAAGTGCCATGCAAAACAGTCTCAGCAAAGAGGAAGATTTGTAGCAGGTACTATTGATTTACATTCATCTATAATTAAATGCTAAAAATATTTACAGAAATAAAATGATGGCTTCTAGAGTGAGCACTTGGCCATGTTTCTACTAGGTCTGTCCAACTGTTGCTTTAGAAATGCACGGTACTATAATATACTTCAGTGGCAACTCCACACATGTTTAGACAAAAAAAATCCTCCAATTTCTAGTACTTCCAAGCCAGCAGCACTGTTAGATTCCTTTTTCTGTGTAAACATGCATAGGCTCACACCCTCCTATGCTAAAACACATGAAAGGAAATCGTCTCATTAATCAGAAATATTTGTCACCTTTGTCTCAATACTGCACAAATCCCGAGTCACCATAACCTCTGACAACTGATATTTCTTGAGGCTATTTTTAAGGTGGTAAAATGCTGCCAATCCTGCCCTCCCCCGCTCCAGTTATCACTTAAAATATTGTATCCACTCCTAAAGATATGTAAAATAAAATGATGACTCCAATGTTATGACTCATATATACTCCAACCACTGTATTAGGGTTTCTCCTTGATGCTAAAGATCTTTATTTTTTAAAGGATATAAATGTGCAAATTAAAAAGATCTTCATTAAATTTCCAGTGGAAACTTTCCTAGGAAAAAAATATACTTTGGCTGCATTGGGTAACAATGGTTAGGAAAAAAATAACTATACTTATCACCTGTACATTAATCATAAGAAAGAGATGCTATTCTAAACCTTTTTTGTCCTTTACCAAATGTGCATTAATTTTTTAAGAGAGCCAGTGTAGTGTAGTGGTTAAGAGTACGGGACTGGGGATTTAGGAGCTCTGGGTTCTAGTTCCACTCAGCCATAGAATTAACTGGGTGACTTTGGCCTGGTCACAGGCCTACCTCACAGGGTTTTTGTTGTGAGGATAAATTAAGAGGAGGGGGATAATTATGTAATAAAGGTTGACTATGAATATAATAAATAAGTAATCAATAAACAATCTCCCTTACAATGTTATGAAGGTTTCAGCAAAGAAGATCAAAGAACAAATAACCACATGTAAAATGCAGTATAAATGTTGCAAACAGTTATATCTGCAATTTAAGATACACATCAGTATAGTGTAACACTTCGTTTCTTTGCGGTTTATTTAAGTAAATCCATGTATTAAGTGCTGGCCCAGAAAAAAGAAACAAACTTAAGAAACCAGCTGTGTGCATGTGTTTGGGGAAATCTATCAGTTTTGAACTCAAGAATAAAGTACATTCCAATCTTGAACATTAGAGATTCTACATGCTAGTAACTCTGCCCAAACTTTTTTTTTTTTGGTTCAGCAAGGAGACTCAGTTTCTATTCATTCAGCAGCTGTATTTCCACCTGAAGCAGTTTGAATGCTCAGCTGCTACCCAATGCTGTGATTGTTAAGGTGCCTGTTTGAAACATTTGTTTCTCCTTTCAAAAGGGCCTCAGCAACAGTTGCTCTAAAAACCCTTTAAGCTAGGAATGGCTTTTTGAGACCTGGTGATATAGATAAAAAGAAGAAAGCTCTTTTTAAGAGCTAGTCTAACTCTCTGGTATGATGTGCCTAACTTTCCTATTTACTTAACCAAGACCATAATTCTCTAGTCTCAGCTGCGTCACTCTTGGCTTTAGGTTCAAAAGTAAACATGAAAGTTGGACAGAGAGAAGGACAGTTG